TCAATGAAGCTGTTATGTCAATACAAAAACATGGTTTAGCCTAAGCCTAAAGGGAAAACTTCTGTTAGGGAATAAGGGCCTAGATTTTATACATCCGCAGACTACATTACCAGTCCTGATCCCCCATCAGCAGCTTCTGTTCCACATGAGAATACGGCCTGCAAGGCCCAAAATTCTGCTGCTGACTAGTAACAGGGTAAAATTATCATGACCCTGTTTCTTACACTTCTATAACCAACATGAAATGGGAAAAATCTCTGGAACAAGGACAAGGACAGGGCTCTACAGTGTCCCGGTAAAACTTACTTCTGTTACAGAAAAGGAATGATAGGGCATATGGCACCTTTACAGCAGCATAATATGTTCACCCTAGACTTTATTGAAATGAAAAATCCCTCTCAATGAAGCTGTTATGTCAATACAAAAACATGGTTTAGCCTAAGCCTAAAGGGAAAACTTCTGTTAGGGAATAAGGGCCTAGATTTTATACATCCGCAGACTACATTACCAGTCCTGATCCCCCATCAGCAGCTTCTGTTCCACATGAGAATACGGCCTGCAAGGCCCAAAATTCTGCTGCTGACTAGTAACAGGGTAAAATTATCATGACCCTGTTTCTTACACTTCTATAACCAACACTTTAACACTTTAAGACAGCAGAGAAAAACACTTACTTTTTGCTTCTATTAAGTCAGCAATCAGTAAAACTTACTTCTGTTACAGGGCATATGGCACCTTTACAGCAGTATAGTATGTTCACTCTAGACTTTATTGAAATGAAAAATCCCTCTCAATGAAGCTGTTATGTCAATACAAAAACATGGTTTAGCCTAAGCCTAAAGGGAAAACTTTTGTTAGGGAATAAGGGCCTAGATTTTATACATCCGCAGACTACATTACCAGTCCTGATCCCCCATCAGCAGCTTCTGTTCCACATGAGAATACGGCCTGCAAGGCCCAAAATTCTGCTGCTGACTAGTAACAGGGTAAAATTATCATGACCCTGTTTCTTACACTTCTATAACCAACACTTTAACACTTTAAGACAGCAGAGAAAAACACTTACTTTTTGCTTCTATTAAGTCAGCAATCTTATCTTGTGATTCCTGCAGCTGAGTCTTTATGTCTCTTATTATATCATCTTTTTCATCACTCTGTATGGTAAGAACTGAAATCTAACAAAATTAAAATAATATCATAATGAAGTGTAGAAAAACAGGACAGATTCTCATTTTCATTTGTGCACTGTGTATAATTAGCATACCTTGTGCTGTCACTCAAGTTAAATAAGGTGGTCAATCTTAGTCAATTACTGATCAAGTCCTATTACTCTCAATGAAAAGCATGAATTCCAACAGACTAAAGATACTGGAACATCACTAAAGTCAGCAGAATCTGACTTAAATGCTGCTCCAGCTGTTATTTTTGTCCTTTTTACTGATGTCCAGAAACACTCCTTGCCCCTTTGTAATGTCACATCCATCTTCAGAAAAACCAACAACTCTGGACTTTCTCAGACACAGATGGATGCTCTGCTTCTAAGACTTCCTGCTTCCAAACTAAACACTCTTACCACAATTAATTTCCTCAACTTAATCAGTCTTCCATCATGGCTACCTCATCACACCACTACAAAAAAACCTCCAATCTCAGATTCCTGAACTCTCTTCCCAGCCTGTTGCCTGATATGCATTATAATCCTTCTTCAAAGTTCCCTCTTACCAGATATGAACTAAACCTTTCTTAACATCGAGGAGTGATGACTGCTTTGCTAATTTTATGCTTCTGCATAAACCACTTTTATAAAGGCCAGTGTATGTCTAGAGAACAGAAAGAGTATTCAGTGTTTACATGGTACATTAAATCCTGTCACTAAGATGTCCCTAGTTATGACACAGCAGCCTAATTCACATTCCAAATAAATAACACTGAAGAAACATACCATTGAAAGGTCATTTGCAATATTAATTGCCATTCTTCCAAAATACAAATATTTTACAAACAACCAAGCACTTTTAAAGTAATTGTTTTCATTTGATATATCAGTAAGTCACAAAAGCAAAACAGTTCAAATACTAAAGGAACTGCAAGATTTGTTTCAAAAATAAAGCTGTACATATTAGATTGTAAAACTGAGCAAACCTGCTTTTCCTTCATACTGACTTCCAGTTTGCATTCTTTTTCAAACTTGTCCACTTTTTCTGCTTCTTCATTTACTTTTGAGATACAGTAATAACCATAGTTAATACACCAGCTAAAATATACTCCAAGTTAAATACAATTTCCAGTTTAAGAAACTGTACAGCTGTACAATTCATTTCCTAAAGAGTAACTGTTAAGGTCATGTTTGAAATTATTTTCTAAGCAGACAAAGTAATTTTTGCACCAGCTTTCCACAGAATTAGTCCATTATTCCATGTATTACTTACTAGTTTGTTATAAGAAACTAACAAAAAAACACATGTAAAAATGAAACAGGCACACAGTAGCATAAATAAAGCAAATGAAATTCAATTTTATGTAGCTGTAGACTAGGGCATTACCATTAAATAAACCAATTACATAAAATCATTAATCTCTAGACTGCACTTCACAGACAAAACTTAGGCTTTGAGTGACTATTTGAAAAACAAAGTTCAAAATCTGAGCCAGTGGAAAAACAATAAAAGGTTCCAGGCATTTAAGAGCAGGCAGCATGAACAGAAGACTGTCTGCCACAGTGTTACAGTTCACCATTCTAGCACTACCTATCTTTCTGGCCTGAAACTGCATGCAATAAAATCTACAAAGTACTAAATTGTTAAACCTGCAGCATAAACACAATAAACAGAATTCTCACATTTGAAACACATTTCCAATCTGGTGTTCTCTGCTTGCACACGAAGCTCTTCAAATGCCATTATCATTCTCTAAAAATAAAATTCAATATATACATTCATATAAAACCAAGTAATGAAGAATTACATTTATGATTTGTTGTTAACAGAATGTTATGATTCTTCAAAGTTGGAAGTTTGAGAATTTCTATACTCAAGATACACAGATAATATGGATCTATAGCCCAAACACTGTTGCATTTTATCCAATGAATATGCCCTATACAATACAAATGACTTCATCAGAGAACACTCTTTGTACGAATAGTATCTCAACATATGCATGTAACTCAGATATCTCAACAAATCAACGCTATTTGGATCCCATTTGAACCTTTTAACAAGCTACGTCACTTACTTCAACACTGTTATTAAGTTCCACGTATATTCGTCTTGTTTCTTCTCTTTCATGTTCATCTATCAAAGTAAGAATGTACCATAAAGTTTTCCTTTTGAAAAAGAACACCAGCTGTCCAAGCTGCCATGCTCAAACAGCATAATGATTAAAAAAGGAATTACAGGCTCTTTTCTTATTTAAAAAAAAGATCATTAAAAAACAGGGTGACAAAAGTTATGTAATTTGGAGAAAATGTATATTCCATTGAAACATCAAGAAAGCTCAGCTTTTCAAATTTCCTTCCCAATCTCCCTTTTTCTGCGAATAGTGTAATTCTGTCAGAGCCACCTACAATTTAACTCAACTGAGAATGTATTTGGAACAGAATGACAGCTTTTCTCCCTCGTGAATTTAGAGAAAGTTAGCAGTACATTTACTTTCATAAATCAAAATTTAAATAGCATTTACATTTGGTGGACTTCTCTGTGAAGTGAGTACAGGTTTCCTTGAGCAGATTACACAGATGTCTTGAAGCACTGTTTCTAAAAAATGAAAAAATACCATAGTATGTTGTCACAGGAATGCATGGCACTTTGCATACCTAAGTGGTAACAATGTAAATGCCCTGATGACCCTTACAATTGAACAGCTATATATAACTTCCCATATTAATATAATTCTCAGCACAAACACCAATTATTTTCACAAAAAATATATTTGACTGTATTACTTACTCTTTTAAAAGATCTTTATTTTCACATATCTCATCTTCCAGTTTTAAACTTAGTTTTTCGTTTTCAAACTAATTTCATAGGGAAAAAATACAAAAACACATTGTTATTGAAAAATATACTAGAAATACACAATCAAATCTCATATGAAAAAGTAATTTTCTGCATCAGAAGACAGAAATCTGTTTTATCTGATATTACATGTTGAGATATCTTGTTACAGCTTCCTTGAAAGACATAATAATAAACAATAATTTACCATCAACTGAAACACAGGTATGTTATTCATACACATACCCACATGCTACATGTGCACACCCCTTCTCAAGGCAGAAGTCAAAGAAAGAAAGATGACTCAGGTTACCAAAGCCAATGCTAACACAAACAACAACAAAAAAGGACCAATAACTTGTTTAAAATGTGTAATTCAGTCCAGTTGTATGTATATGTACTTCTGTCCATCACTTCCAGCAGCATAAGACACTGGGATAAAGCAGAATGCTCTATTCCCTGCATGTGTTGAATTCAGAAATAGGCATGAGCAAACTTTACACGTACCAGGAGAACGACAGTTTATTCAGTCCTGAATAGGTCTCTGCATACACACAGTATGATGTGCACGTAAATAATAGATAGAATGCATTGTTGAAAAGAGGAAAACTATTATTAAAAAGCAAAATGTTACTTTTTCCTTTACTAACAGTAGAGCCATAGGTCATTGGTGTGATGACTTCGAAATCATCACACAGTTCAAAATTTCTTCAACCTCTGCAACATTATTTAATATTTGTGTGAATACTATTTTCATATTAAATCAGGAAGAGCTTTGTTTACTTTACTCTTTTAAAATTTGTATTATACAATACTGGCCTGCAATTCCTGAATGGCTTTACGCTGTGCTTCAATAATCTTTCTATTTTCTTGCAGTTTTCTTTCTTTCTGCTTTAGTTCTGACTCTACAGTTAGTTTCCACCGCTTGATCTTCTCAGCTTCTTTGTAGAGTTTTGAATACAATTCATTCATTGTTTCTCCATGCTATTAAAAGAGGTTCCACAATTTAATATCAAATGCTATTTAATTAATAATGTTTTAGATACATATTTATCTTTTAGAAATACCACAAATTTTTTTCACAGATGGCGACACAAACTTATTTAGGACCAGGAATCACAGTTTAAATCTTTGTGTATCCATTGCGTATGTATCAACAGAACAAGAGACACAAACACAAGTGAAAAATACCCCACTGCCCTCAGATACAGAGACATTGCTAAATAGATAGCATTAAAGATAAGGATAACTGCGCTCCATGAAGTCGATGAAAGTTTTGCTAGAATTATCAGTAGAGCCAAGATTCCTTCTGTTAGATTCTTCACACCATTTCCCTCCTCTTGTTCTGACAGATACTGCTGAATTAAGTAAAAGCAGCCTCTGAGATCTTCTCCAAGACTACTCATGATATGTTTTTGCTCATACCCAAAACAGGAAGGAAAACCAACCAACCTCATGCTCTCAGAACATCTTTAAAGCACTGTACAAACAGCACTTGCTCAGTGGTGTCGGCAAATAAAGTACAGTAGGCCACAGGGCAGTTCTGCAGTTTGTTTCAGGCATGATGTCACCTAACACTATCCTTGTTTTGGCTGCATCGTAACACTATTACATTCCTAACTGTACTTTAATAGCTGCTAGGGCTAAAAGAAGTTTAGTCCTCAGGGATATAAAAATTATTAGAAGGACTGGAAGAAATATGTTCCATTGTTGCAGCAAACAGCATCTCGTATCTGGGAAGCACAGGAAGCTACTGGGGAGACAAAAAAAAAGCTTTACTGAGCCGTACTCCCCAAGCACTTTAAATAAAAAAAAACCCCCTCCTCTGAGCAATTCAGCTTTAAACAGGAGACAGAAAATTATTACTCCCCTTGGACTACTTCCTTTAGCCCTGAAGTATCTATTAGAATAGTGCTTTAGTGCTTTTTTGTTTTGGGAACAAATTAAGAGGCCCTAAAAAATTAGATATGCAGAATTTATACTTAGCTGACCTCTTCATCTACCTCAGAGCCAAGTTTTAGTTGCTGTGAAATTGCATCTGAAATATGAAGATATTTTGATCAATTAATTTCTAAAAAAATAACAGTGGAACTGTATATAGCACTGTTATAGCTATGAAACTGTTAAACTACTCATGAAGAATGTTGACTTTATTTAAAAAATTTAAAGGGGTGTGCAAGGTAAATGCTTATTTTACTCTTACCTGAATCAGTGATTTCACCACGGTTCGCTGTACTCATTACAAATTGCAAATTAAAATCATCATCTGGGCATTTGTTAAAACCCTGCACAAATTTAAAAATTAATTTCTTATGGGTAGATTTGTAAAGAAGGATTATAAACCCCAGAAAAAAAAAGAAGTACAGCTAATGTGAGAATACAATTTTCCATTAATAAATCAACTCCCTACAATTTTCAAAGCCCAAGGTATTGAAAACGGCTTTGCAACTTTGCATCTTACTTCCCAGTGGCTTTTCAAACTATTGCTCTTTTGTAGTTTGCCTTATAGACTACCCTGTGGCCAAAGCAGAAGCTTTTGATTACAAGAACTTACTAACTACTGCATGCCTGTATGTGGTTCCATGGTAAAGGGCTCATTAACCAAAACCAGGTTTTTTTCAAGTTGAATTTTTGATACTTATTTTTTGCTTTATTCCCAAGAATACTGGTAAACCACATCTGATTATTGTTTAGTATGAAAATTTCATTTTACAATGTGTTTTAAAAGTCACAGAAATTTGTCTTTTGAATAGTGTAACTCACGTCCTGTCAGACTATCACATTTCAACCTGAACACATTTCATAAGGCCCCTCAACATGAAAAACCATCCTGTTGAATTCACATCTGAGTTACTCAGATGGTAGTGACAGAACATGTTCACTGCACACTGGATGTGGTGGGACTGCTAAGTCAAAGCCAGGAGGGGTATCTCAGTGATGTACTCCCTACCCACACCAAACATGTATTTATCACTGGCGATGTACAGTTAAAATACACAGCAGATGCTTGTGAGGACGATTCTCTTTGGTTTTGATAGAAAAAGTATAAGTCTCTGAAGTGTTCCCCCGCAGCACCAATCTCAACAGTTTCCAGGGAAGTAAGTTCAGCGCACAGGCCTCCTCATGTTTTCCAGAACTGGCCGTTCGGGGCTTCCCTTGGGGACCACCGGGAACACCGCTCCCGCCGAGCCCTCCACGGGCCCCCCCACCGCTCGTCACCCGCCCTCCTCCCGTCGCCTCCAGAGCAGCACAAGGCGGGGCGGGCGGCAGCGCCCTTTACCTGACACTGCCCCGTTGCCCGAGTGCTCGCCTGGGGTTTGACCGCAGACACCTGGCCGCTGCTCAGGCGCGGCGGCACGAACAATTTAAAGGGTTTTTCTTTCTCCATGGCGTCGGAGGACGTGGCCGCCCTCAGCGCCTCACGGCTGGCCCGCTCACGCGCTGCTGCTGCTGAGGGAGGACAAAAGGGCGGGAAGCGGCCGCGCGCGCCGGAGGCACGAAGTGAGGGGGCGCGCGCCGGGCTGCGCGAGGCGGAGCGGAGCGGGGCGGGACGGGACGGAGCGGAGCGGAGCTGAGCAGGCCCCCTCAGCAGCGCGAGCGCACGCGCGTGTGCGCGTGTGCGTGTTTTACGGCGCCGCCTGGTGGAGGTCCCAGACCTGGCGGAGGAGCGCTGTCAGGCGCGGGTCCTGCGTCCGCCACGTGACCAGCACCGCCGCGTGGGCGTGGTTGAGGCTGCGCAGCTCCGTCAGGCGCGCGACCAGGCGGGCGAAGCGCTGAGGGTCGCGGGGGTGATGGATCTTGGCGTGTTTGTAGAGCAGCCCCAGCAGCGGCTCCTGCAGCTCCTCCACCCGCCGCCTGTTCCTCAGCAGCGGCCGGTCTGCGGGGGGGAGGGAGAGGCGGGAGAGCGCGGTTAGCGGGCGGGGAGGCGGGGCGGTCGGGCCGGGCCCACCGGTGCCCCTGTGAGGGCCCGACTTGTGGAGGTGGGAAGCGCCTGAGGTGAGTGGAGGTGACACGCGCGACACACGGTCCGTCCGTGTTCCCCCCCCCCCCCCCCCCCCCCTTT